AAAAAAAAAAAAAAAAAAAAAAAAAGCCCAGCTAAGGGTTTCCCGACAACCTGAAAAAGCCCCCCGCCCCTGCTGTGGCCTGATTCGCGCTGACGAAAGCTTGGTTCATATAAACATTTCATGAATTGATGTTAATGTGTAGATTCAAAAGTAAGCTATCAAAGTGTTAAAACGGTGGTAACTCAAACAAAATCTGAAGCGATCCAAAAGATCATTTCTAAACACCCCATTAACCTTATTAGAATTGCAAGCCTCAGCCTGAAATTCCAAACTGTCAAAGGTGACTAAGAAATCCCACATGTGAAATAACACTTTCCAACCAACCTCGGGAGTGTTCAAGTGCCATCCTAACGCCTTTGGCCCCTGTGGATGGAGGAACTTCATGGGCAACACGAGGAGGTGGGCTCGGCTGTGCATGGGATTTGTGACACTGCTTACAGTAAGTGCATCGGATGAGAGAACCACAGACACTCGCCACGTTTTATCACTGGTCTTGGCTGATGCCCAGCCTTTCTATCAATGCCCCCAGAAAATCAAATATCACTGTTACCGCTGCCCTGACAAAGACAGAGAAGGGAAAGCTTTGCGGACTGCTCTCAGAATTTTAAGTGTGAAATAGAGGGTAGATTCCAAGACGCTGTATGAGGAAAAGCAAATGCAGATGATGGTAACAGAAAAGGCTCCAGTGGTAGAAGCGGCAATCCCAGGCACTGCCTTAGGGAGCTGACAGTCCCCTCGCTGTTGTTGCTGGCCCGATCCTCCCAAGCAGGAACTCAGAAAGAACTCCTGCCCCACACAGCGTCCGAGGCTGAAGAGCAGACAACATTCGACAAGCCCCAGTGAAGACTGTGGCTGCCCTGCCTGATGTGGAGTCATTTAATGGCACGCTGTTAGGAGGAAAGGTTAGCACAGTGGGAATCTGGAAACACAAAAGGTGACTTCGGGGAACCGGGCTTTCGAGCCATGTGAACAATAAGGACACGATGGGCCAGAAGGCGTGACGCAGGAGCGTCACCACCACCATCACTATGAGACGCAAATAAGTTCGTGGAACTGGGGAGCTGCTATTTTCTGTCCTGAAAACATAAAATAACCCAGTCCGCGTCATCAGAATAGATTCTAACCTGTTTTATTCTCTGATCCACCTCCCTAAAAACAATCCCAAGAGCAAATGAGGAAAGATTATTTGTGATTTGCCAGGCAGGAGACTCTAGAAAATATGAGGAAGCAATGAGACATTTAATGTAGACACAAACAGAATAAAGTAACTATGTTTCTAAGGTAATTTAAGGCCGTTGTAATTTGATCAACCCAGGATGGATGTTCCTTCATTCTATTGCTACATTTATTAAAACCACATTAATTGGACTCTACTGATTCAGAAATTATAAAGCTTTCAGAGAAAATGTGGGCTGTTATTCTTTAACGCCAAACAAGAACAGGATCTGCAATTTTGAGCCAATTTTCTTTCCCTCAAAGCCTTTCCAAATTGAGCTTCTACTGAAAATCAGCCCTTCCTGAGCAGCAGCTCCCTCCCTTCTGGGGTTCCACTCCGTGCCTTCCTGGTGAGCCTTTCTAAGCAGACCCCGAGCTTCTCGAGGACAGCTTGTCTACTTAACCTTGCCCAGCCCTGGGTGCCCCTCCAGTGTGCATTCTGCACAGAAAGGAGGTGTGCAGAAACTGAGAAGGGACAGCCAGTTCATTGCAGAGGATGCAGGATGGGTCTAATGTACAGGAACGCTGCCAAACAGCAGGGGTGAGGGTGAGTGCAGAGCATGGTCCTCACTCTAAAAGAAACCAAGGTATGGGTGCAGTAGCTCACAACTATACTCCCAGCACTTTAGGAGGCCGAGGCAGAGGATGGCTTGACTCCAGGAGTTTGAGAACAACCTGGGCAACACAGTGAGATCCTATCTCCATGAAAATGTTTTTTAAAAGTAGCCAGGTGCGGTGGTACACACATGTTGTCCCAGCTACTTGGGGGAATTACTTGAGCCCAGCAGGTTGAGGCTTCGGTGAGTTATGACTGTGCTACTACATTCTAGCCTTAGTGACAGAGCAAGATCCTGTCTCAAAAATAAATAAAAGAGGCCGGGTGCGGTGGCTCATGCCTGTAATCTCAGCACTTTGGGAGGCCAAGGCAGGTGGATCACCTGAGGTCAGGAGTTCGAGACCAGCCTGGCCAACATGGTGAAATCCCAACTCTAGTAAAATACAAAAATTAGCTGGGTATGGTGGTGCACATCTGTAGTCCCAGCTACTCAGGAGGCTGAGGCTGGAGAATCGCTTGAACCCGGCGGGCAGAGGTTGCAGTGAGCTGAGATTGTGCCACTGCACTCCAGCCTGGGAGACAGAGTGAGACTCCGCCCCCTCAAAATAAAATTTAAAAACCAGCTCTAGTCCTCTTGGAGTGTGAGAGCCCAGTCTTTTCAAACTTTTCATAGTTACAACAACTATCTCAGTTCTGGGCTCGATAAAATTATAAAACCATAAAAAGTCATTTTGGAGTCAGTGAGGCCTGGAGCTGCGGCATTCGTGGTGCAGAGAGCCCAGTGGGGCACAGAGGCCGGGCCGGTGCATGGCCACAGCTAAGTACCCAGGGCTGGGCCTGGCATGCAAGTGCTGACCCGACTGAGCAGTGAGCAGGCTGCCGCACCTGGCATGCAGGTTGGGCCTCGGCGGGGGCGGGGTGAGCAGCAGCGGCAAGGAGCCCACTCAGAGTGGCAGCAACACACACATTAGAAGAGAGCTTTGGCCTTGGCCATTCTGGTTTTTTTTGTTTGTTTTTTGTTTTTAAAATAATTTTCTTTCTTTTTTTTTTTTTTTGAGACGGAGTTTCGCTCTTGTTACCCAGGCTGGAGTGCAATGGCGCGATCTCGGCTCACCGCAACCTCCGCCTCCTGGGTTCAGGCAATTCTCCTGCCTCAGCCTCCTGAGTAGCTGGGATTACAGGCACGCGCCACCATGCCCAGCTGATTTTTTTTGTTGTTGTTGTATTTTTAGTAGAGACGGGGTTTCACCATGTTGACCAGGATGGTCTCGATCTCTTGACCTCGTGATCCACCCGCCTCGGCCTCCCAAAGTGCTGGGATTACAGGCGTGAGCCACCACGCCCAGCCTGGCCATTCTGGTTTTAAATGGCAAGCTATAAGCTCTGTGTTTTTCTGCACTGATGTGTCACTTATTAAATACTTCTGTACCTTAAAAAAAATCATTCTGGGAGGTAAATGCAAACAAGGGAAAGACAGAGGCCATCTTCTCAGACAGGATTCCTCAGACGATCTCATCACACTCTCGGATGTCCTCTGTGGATTAACAAAAAGCCAGGCCATAGGGACACAATGTAAGACACTGGCTTTTGTTTTCAGCCAGGAAGTCAGAATCAGGTCTGCTGCACTGGGAAGGGCGACTCAGAGAATCTCATGACAGAGAAAGGGCCCATGGGGGTCAGTATGCCAACAGCCAGGGGTACAGCTGAGGACAGAAAGAATTTAAGAGGACATGTCCGGCCGGGCACGTTGGCTCACGCCTGTGGGACGCCGACGCGGGGGATCATGAGGTCAGGAAATCAAGACCATCCCGGCTAACACGGTGAAACCTCATCTCTACTAAAAATACAAAAAATTATCCGGACGTGGTGGCATGTGCCTATAGTCCCAGCTACTTGGGAGACTGAGGCAGGAGAATCTCATGAAACCAGAGGCTGAGGTTGCAGTGAGCCAAGATCGCACCACTGCACTCCTGCCTGGGTGACGGAGCAAGACTCCATCTCAAAAAGAAGAGTACATGCCCATGAACTGGGGCTATCTGAAGGAAATAATCCCTCTCTGCTAAATTAGCTGGAGCTACAAGGCATGAAATGACACAAGAGCAGCCTTACTGGGACAAGAGATGCAGCTGCAGACATACAGACCTTGATCCAGACAGGAAAGAAAATCTTTCAATAAATACAAGTTTAGGCTGGGCGCGGTGGCTCACGCCTGTAATCCCAGCACTGTGGGAGGCCGAGGCGGGTGGATCACGAGGTCAAGAGATCGAGACCATCCTGGTCAACATGGTGAAACCCCGTCTCTACTAAAAATACAAAACATTAGCTGGGCATGGTGGCGCGTGCCTGTAATCCCAGCTACTCAGGAGGCTGAGGCAGGAGAATTGCCTGAACCTGGGAGGCGGAGGTTGCGGTGAGCCGAGATCGCGCCATTGCACTCCAGCCTGGGTAACAAGAGTGAAACTCCGTCTCAAAAAAAAAAAAAAAAAAAAAAAAAAAAAAAAAAAAAAAAAAAAAAAAAAAAAAAAAAAAAAAAAAAAAAAAATATATATATATATAAAAAAAAAAAAAAAAAAAAAAATATATATATATATATAAGTTTAATAACAGTTCAATAGAGAGGGGTGCTTGACATGTGTTAGTCCGCAATTCTCTGCCTAAGTGGGCTGTGCAGGCACCCGCAGTAGCTGGCAGAAAGCAGTGCACGCATGAGAGGTCCCATGGGGTCCTCACCACTCCACGACCGTGGTCCAGGGGAGCCTTGCCCCAAGGGCTCTGCGCCCCAAAAAAGGCCTATTCTGACTTCCTGAGTTGAGCCCCTACCGTAACTGAGGCCAGGCCTTTATCCATCCACCCTCTTTAACAGGAAAACCTTGTCCTACTCATAGGTAGTTCCAAAATAAATGGATGTTAGAAAAAACACACGGAAATACAACCTAAGAGAAACAGATGAAAGTCTAATAAAGCTTCTTAGAAACACTCACATCACAAAGCACCAGGTAAATGGTATTTCGAACCATCAGAATAAGCTGCACTTAAACTCTTAGGAACCCTCACACGCCTCCAGGCAGCAAGCCCGACTCCATGTGGAGTTTCTCTCCTTTACAAAGCAATAAAGCCATGGTCACTGGAACATGAATGTAAGTTATTGTCTGGGTGGGTGGATGGGTGTGTGTGTGTGTGTTATTGTCTGGTTGTGTGTTATTGTCTGGTTGTGTGTGTTATTGTCTGGTTGTGTGTGTGTTATTGTGTGTGTGTGTTATTGTCTGGTTGTGTGCATGTGTGTTATTGTCTGGTTGTGTGTGTTATTGTCTGGTTGTGTGTGTGTGTTATTGTCTGGTGTGTGTGCGTGTGTGTGTTATTGTGTGTGTGTATATATACACAGTTCGAAGCACAGTCTTTTTTTTGAGAGGGAGTCTCACTCTGTCGTCCAGGATGGAGCTGGCTCACAGCAACCTCCGCCTCCTGGATTCAAGCGATTCTCCTGCCTCAGTCTCCTGAGTGGCTGGGATTACAGGCACCCTCCAACACACCCGGCTAATTTTTGTATTTTTAGTAGAGACAGGGTTTCACCACGTTGGCCAGGCTGGTGTCGAACTCCTGACCTCATGACCTGCCTTGGCTTCCCAAACTCCCAGGATTACAGGCATGAGCCACCGCAACCGGCCAGCCTCACTTTTTTAAGTTAAAGTATAGTAAATAGGGCCAGAATTTAGTGTGCAATATGTTGAGACCCTGACATGTAGCTAGATATGGAACTAATCTCCAAATCCAGCATTTCCCTAATGGTCATTTAAGAAATGCCTTCTTCCTGTAAACAGGGAAGCGGGCAGGGCAGGGTATAGACACTCCAGTTAAGGGGGGCATGAGGTGGGCCAGAGAGGAGGCTGGGTCTCATTCTGTACCTTCCATGATTAAAGACCCTCAAGCCCCTCCACAAAGAAAATATGGAGTATGTGGTTGGTAGGCTTTTTCTTTTTGAGACAGGGTCTCGCTCTGTCGCTCAGTGTAGCAGTATCATCACAGCTCGCTGTAACCTCTGCCTCCTGGGCTCAAGTGATCCTCCCACCTCAGCCTCCAGAGTAGCTGGGACTACAGGCGTGAGCCACCACACTCAGCTAATTTTTTTTTATTTTTTGTAGAGACAGGGTTTCGCCATGTTGCCCAGGCTGCTCTTGAAATCCTGGACTCACGCAATCACCTGCCTCAGCTCCCAAAGTGCTGTGATCACAGGCATGACTTACTGTGCCCAGCCAGTAGGCTATTTTTAACATAACCTGTGTATACATCTGCAGTTAAAAGAAAAAAGGACCTTCCCTCCAATAAAGGGAAAACAGTTGCCCCGCACCACCCTCATCACTAAGCCACGTAGTTCCGATATGTTTTTAAGAATCATTTACTCATTACAAGAAACCCTCAAAGAAACTTACAGATGTTACTGGATACCTAATGAATTCAACAACTATAAGCATACATACATTTCTTCTCTATGTTTTTCGTATTCTATATTTCACACTTACCCATTGTCAAATTTTCTCAAATAGCAAGATGCTCCTACACATCTAGTAAATAGCCATAAGACACAGATACACAGAAAGAGAAAAAACCTACACAGTCTCAAGGGTTACAATTATTGGTGCGTAAGCTGACCAAAGGGAATATTTTGCAGATTTCAAAGTGTCCTGGGGGTAGCCCCAGGCTTCCACGAGCAGGTGGGCTGCCCAGCTCAAACAGGGAACACCACATTCATCTGTTTTAGACCCTGGCCACCTGGTTAAGATGTCCTCTGAGAAAGCTGTTTCTTGGTAAAACACAGTTTGAAAACCCTCTCTGCAAACTTCAAAACTTCTGTCCATTAGCAGGAATAGATAAGGAAGACAGGAGAATGCTAACGGAAAGGAGAGGCTGGGTTTTCAACTTTCCTACAATTCAATATGAAATGCATTGGTCAAAGGGAAATAGCTCCAACAATCCACACTTCACAAACCCCATGCAGACGAATCTATTTCCATAAAACACAAAACATGTAGGTCCAGACATTCTCCTAGAACCATGCTTCCTTCTGCTCTACATGAAGAGGGTGAGAGCATGGCGGCACTGGCCCCCAAATCCTCTTCCTCTCAGCAAGGGAGGCTCCCTCACCTCCTACCTTCCTAACCTGTGCCTACGTTAAATATAGCAGCCGCTCCAATTACTTCTTGGTATCAGTTAGTCTCTATTTAATAACAAACTGAAAGGCACTTACCTGCCAGCCCTTGTCCGCTGTCCTATAGTAGGGATAATTTTTAGTGATGTGTGTATAAATCCCATTCAGGGTGAGCTGTTTGTCGGGCGCCATTGTAATTGCTTGTACTATTAGTTGTGCATACGAGTAGGGTGGCTTTGAATCATCCTGTATTTAAAAATAAAAACAAAAAGAGAGTACTGAAGTTACCACATTTTTTACTAAATTTACTAGATTTACAGATTCTCGATGCTTTGATACCTCATTTTTTTTTTTTTTTT